TATTTATTTATTTATATTTCAGTCAATGAATACATAGACACTTACTGACTAAGCTTAAATACAACTTCAATTTAAGTTGGAGATCAACTAAATTATGACTTAAAGTAATTCGAGACTATGTTTTTTAAAACGACTCCAGGAAGGGACAGATCTATTTCCACCGTTTGGTTTATTTGATTGATTTCCCTGAGGGCTCGCCTAATAGGTGCATTCAAAGCATAATTCGACTTTGCGGATTGTACGTAAAATAAGTCAGAACGCCGCAAATTCCTTACAGGAATATTGAGCGGTATTCTTCGCAGAATTTCTGANCACTTTGCGGATTGTACGTAAAATAAGTCAGAACGCCGCAAATTTCTTACAGGAATATTGAGCGGTATTCTTCGCAGAATTTCTGAGCAATCAACAATATTAATTATAACATTCAAGATAAACGAGCAGGATAGGCACTTTCTCCTATCTTCGAGCAAATCAAGATTTAAAAGTAAGCAACGTGACTTATAGGAAGGCATTGGCTCCGTAAAGCTGAGAAACCTTAGCGCAGACTTGATAAAAATCTTTTGTACACGCTCAATCCTGTTAATATACGTCGTATGAAAAGGTCGCCAAATAACAGCGGCATATTCTAGACGAGACCTGACAAAAGCAATATAAAGTTTTTTAAAAGTGTGTACGGGTCAGAAAATCAGAACTGTTACGACGCACAAAGGCCCACGTGGAATAGGAATTTGCAACAATGAAGTTAATATGAGTATTATAAGTGAGCTTGGAGTCAAAATAAACCCCTAGGTCTTTGACTTGATCAACAAATTTCAGTTTAGTACCTGCTATCGTATAAGATGTGCTTACTGTAATCGACTTTCTAGAATAAACCATATGAGAACATTTTTCAGTATTTAAGAAGAGTTGATTTCTTTCACACCAAGAGTTAACTCTATCTAGATCAGATTGAAGAGAAACAGAGTCCCCAGGTCGCGTTACAACCGAATAAACTTTGAGATCGTCAGCGTATAGAAGAAATTTGGAGAATAAGCAACACGAGCTTATGTCATTGATAAAGATTATAAATAAAAGAGGTCCAAGGATACTTCCCTGAGGGACCCCAGAACTAGCGTGAAAAGAACGCGATGTTGTGTCTTCGATTTGCACCCTACAGTACCTCTCCGATAGATAGGAACTGATCCATTCGAGGAAGACGGAGTGAAAACCCATGTACGCCAATTTACTAATTAAGATTTTATGAGACACCCTATCGAATGCCTTGGCAAAGTCAGTATATACTGTATCAATTTGATACCCAGCCTCAAAGCCTCGAATGCAGTCATCCGTAAAAATAGCAAGATTAGATATCGTGGATCTCCCCTTAACGAAACCGTGCTGATTCGGACAAATTACGTTTTGAATTGCAAAAGCAATTTTATCCTTGATAATGCTTTCGAACAATTTAGCAACCGTTGTCAATTTAGCAATCGGTCTGTAATTCGAAACATCACTTTTATTTCCACTTTTGAAGATGGGTGTAATATAAGCACTTTTCCAATCCGCTAAAAACGTACCCACAGAGAGCGATAAATTAAAGATCAAAAGTAGAGGCTTAATGAGAGCAGAGCAGTTCTTGAAGAGAATAGGAGACAGGCCATCTACATCAGTCTGAGTGGATGCTTTTAAACTCGAAATACCCTGCAGCACATCAGCAAATTTTCCCCACCGCCCTTATCCAGTCATCTTGCATCTGCGCTTCCCTTAGTCTAAACTTTCACGAGTCTTCTATGAGTAAGCAGTAAACGCGACTTAAGGCATCCGCGTGACGCATGCGTGTTCTCGATCGATGCTCAACCGTATAATCGTATTCCCGTAAGTACATCGCCCTCCTCATGATTCTGTCGAGTACGTCTTGTTTCTTTACTGTCATGGAAAATGCGTTGCAGTCACTTATTATTTTAAACTTAATATCTTTTAAATACATACGCAACTTCTTCAACGCTTTTATAACCGCTAAAACCTCTAACTCGAATGCGCTATACTTCTCTTCAGCAGCTGACGTCTTACGGTCCATATACTCAACTGGATGCCATAACCGGTCTTCTGAGCCTTTTTGCAACAAAATTGCACCGTATCCAAACTTTGATGCATCTGCGTGCGCTTCCGTCTCAGCCGTTGGATTAAAAAGTTGCAGGGCTGGCACGTTCACCAATGCACGTTTCAGCTCTTGGATAGCCAACAATTGTTCTTCACAAAGTTAAATTTTGTCGTCCTTTCGAAGCAAATCAGTCAGTGGTTTAGCGACCACAGCATAGTTTTGAATAAACCGTCTAAAGAACGATGCAATTCTTTTCTACTGCCTGGCATCGGAAAATTACTAACTGCCTTTGTCTTCTCTTCTGATGGTAAAATTTCCCCCTTCTCCACAATATAACCTAAGAAGTTAATCTGCCTTTTTAAAATTTGACATTTCTCCCATCGAATATGCAACCCACATTCACTGGCACGTTTTTAAACTTTTTCTAACTTTCGCCGACCTACATCTTCATCCTTAGCGGGAATCACTATGTCGTCCATATATATGATAACCGTGCCGTCAGTAAGCATGTCTTGGAAAATTGCTCGAATATATCGACAAAATACAGCGGAACAAAACAAAATTCATATTGTCCGCTGTGTGTCACAAAAGCCGTATATTTTCTAGAGCTTGGTTCCACTGGCACGTGATAAAACCCATTTTTAAGATCAAGTGTAGTAAATACCTTTGCACCCTGCAGTTTGTCTAAAGCTTCGTCAACTAACGTCATGGGGAAGTTATCCCTTACTATTTTCTCATTAATTTTGCGAAAATCGCAACAAAATCGTTTGGTCCAATTCTTCTTTGTTGTTAACACGACTGGTAAGGCATACTCCGAAGTACTACTTTGAATGATACCTTCCCTGAGCATACCCTCTACCTGTTCGTCTATGAAACTCGTCGCGGTCGCTGATAAACCGGCTCGTCATCCGACAAAATGAACTTCATTTGTCCTGGAGCGTTCACCGGTTTTTGTGGTCTATAATCGGTTATTAATTTCCTTAAATATTTGGATTCACTTTCCCCTAAATGCGATAGGTCTACGTTATCGCATGCCATATCTCGTTCCGTTTCAATCATGCATAGTATTTCAAACTCCTTTGTCAAATCGTTCTCATCTCCCTAGTCTACATTTTCCACGATACTCTTCCCTAACACTGCCACCGTATCCTCTACCTCTTTGCCCTTCTGTCCCCTGATTCACCCTTAGTTGCCACTTTTTGTTCTCCGTAAACTAAGTTTTGAGAAATACCCTCATCGTGGGCTGACTTCAGCTCCACCACCTGCACGTTCCTCGGGGACTAGCGCCACCGCTTCAGCACCCCCACATGAACCATTCGCCTCAGCCGTACCCTTTCCATCTTCAGTGCAATCTATTGCCTTCTCGAGAGGCTTTATAGGTTTCCTAAACTCTACGCTGCCTTCTCTAAAGACCAACTCTACATCTTTCAAAACGTAATTTCCTATTATCGCGGCATACGGCATACCTCGCTCTCTTAAGACGTGAAACTTCACTGTCAGCACCACCTCATCCACAGATATCTCGGCCATAAAGCGACCCATTATTGTAAGTTCACCTTTGCCAATGCCCACCAATTGTTGCTTCTCATTGCTTAGTTCTATATCTCCTAACATCATCAACGTATCGTATCTCATGATACATGACCTGCAACCCGTGTCTACTAAAGCACTGAAAGTAAAATTATTCATCAATACGTCAATGAAAATCATTCCCGCGGCCTTAGCTTTTCGGCTACCCAACGTATTCACCCGCTCACTTTTCACCACTTTGTCGTTTTGGTCTTTCTTACATTCGTGAGCATAATGTCCCTTTAGCTTGCACTTAAAACAGGTTACATTGCTTGAACCTGGCTCTTAACATTCCTTTGCCAA